AAAGGTCTTTTACTTGCTAAAAACAGTATGAAATATCACTCAGATGACAAAAGGCATGTAGTAGATCATGTACAACAGGTTTTTCAAAGTTTTGATCATGTTGATAATTTAGAGGCCTTAGAAATGTGTGTATCAAATATGAATTAGTAGGCTTTATAGGGTTAAAACTTTATTTGTCATTTCATTAAACTTTGCACTTGTACTGCTGATGAATCTGTCTACATGTTATGTCATTCTATTTTTATTGCATGCTTCTGGGAACAGCGAGTTTATACCCTTCATTCACTGACTACTAAAACAACCACATCCCATTTTAACACAGTGGATGCTTTCATTCTTGTAGGATGGCACACATTCAGGCTTGTATTTTGTAGCTTACTGCATGTCGAGCCAATCAGATAGGAATGGAACTACTGTTTCAATCATCGTGACGTTCATGGAAGTCTGAAAAAAGAAAACAACACGCTGTGTCCAGTTTGATAAGACACCCAGGACCAACACCAGGCGCTGTGTTGTTTGCTGTGAGAGTGCTGGAAAAAATCCAGCATCGCAGAACTCCAGCTTTTGCAAAGAGTGGCGCTTTTCAGATGGTAATCACATGCTCTCTAAAGATGCAGCCCAGCCACCATCCGCTTTCTGAGGGAACTTGTTTTCTTTGGCAGCCAGTAAAGCTGCTCTACTGAGAAAGCATACTGTTCGACCAGATCAGCCCCCTCCCCAGTTTATGCACCCTCCACTTTGACACAGCACATCCCGACACTGGATCAACGAGGGGGGGGGCTGTATGAGAGGTTATAAAAAAACTAGTAGTTTGGTTGCATTCATTTCCATAGCTATACCACAGTAATGCAAAAGCTTATTTTGATTGAGCTCTCGGAGCAGTAGGTTTATTTGGAGAATCCTCCAATGTGGTTTCCTGACCACTGTCTCTGCTGCAGTCTCCCACAGGTGAATATAAGCTTTATTTTAGGACCCATAAACAATGATTCATGATTACAAATCTCTTATTTTAAATGCTCAAACATGTAACCTTGATAACACACTTAAATGGATAGTTCACCCAAAAATGAAAATTACCCCATGATTTACACACCCTCAAGCCATCCTAGGAGTATATGACTTTCTTCTTTCAGACGAATACAATCAGAGTTATATTAAAACATGTCCTGGCTCTTCCAAGCTTTATAATGGCAGTGAATGGTGCTCGAGATTTTGAAGCCCAAAAAGTGCATCCAGCCATCATATAAAGTGCTCCACACAGCTCTGGGTGGTTAATAAAGGCCTTCTGAAGTGAATCATTGCGTTTGTGTAAGAAACGTGTAGAAAGGTCTAATTTAAAATAATTATTTTGTTGTTTTTGTGTTGTTTTCCAGCCCAGCGTGTCCAAAAAATTTCATTTTGGTGCATGACTAATGGAAAAGAGTGGGAAGCACATTCTTCAAAGATTTCTGCTCCATAGAAGATAGAAAATAAACAAATTTGGTTCATCTTTTTAAAGGTGAGTAAATATTGTCCATATTCTCTTTTTTTTTTTTTTGGCTGAACTATTCTCTTAAAGCAACTAATGTTGCTTTTACACAATTCTACACACACACACACACACACACACACCATTATTGATTTCCTGCTCACAATTAGTCTGGTGGAGGCCTGCAACATTAAAAGTCAGACTGTTCTTGTTCAAATAGGTTATTTCCTGCCATAGAAAAAATATAAAGCTGCTGTAGATTTATGTTGTACACTAATAGAAAGAGGAACCAAAATGGTTTCCACATACAGCATTTCTCAATCTTTTAATAAACCTCTCTTTCAGCAAAGCTGGCGGGGGAAAGAAAGGTCAGTAATCACATTGGGTCAACTAATATACAAGACACAGAATGCTTGTGGTGGAACTCTGTAAACAAATATGATGAACTAAGCTATTCAGTATCCAATAACACTGAACACTGAAACAGCTGACGCGAGATAGGAAACGTGTGGCCCCCTTCACCCCCCCTAGACCTACAGGTCACCAAACAAACCCCAGCACACTCTCTATTGTACACTGATTGAACACAAACCAAGTGGCTACTTACAAGCTCCAGTCCTATGATATTAAAGTGTCACTGCATCTAGGTCACTGCTGTTTGCAATCACAACTTTAAGAGCGTGCGACCTGGTCTCCAATCACAATCAAGTATCTGGACCACCTTCCTCACAACAGTTTAGTCTTAATTGTTCAATTCTCTTCCTTATGTGTCACCATTTCCCATTTAGGTAGACCAGTGACAATCAATCACAATTTCAGAGTATTGACGCCCATGCCCACTCCTGAATTTAAACACAAGGTAGTTAAACCTATATATAACCTTTTTTTGGTCTAAGTGTCCTCTCTGTGTTCATCTACTTAAGTGCATGGCCCTCATGTGATTTCATACAATAGACTCTTCGCCTATAGAATCTAATGGTCTTCTCTGGTGCTTTATAAAAATCATTCGTCACAAGGCTCTATATATTGATTTTGACATGTTGGAAACCCTTTACACATTAACAGTGAAGCTAATCCTCAGGCTAGTTTGGCACAAGGGATTGATCAACTATCCCGGAGCTGAGAAATGCGAAAGAAACCAAAGCACACTATCCAGAACTTTGTCTGTGTTTGTCTAAACTGACCGGCCCTGCCAACAGAAAAGCACCATAATTATTTTGAGATATTTAAACTTGTGGCTGCTTCTTGTCCAAAATCGTGACTAATAGACCTCAGAGCTCAACGTATACATGTTTTGAGGTTTGAGTTGTCCAGAAGAAACACAGAAAAGAAAATATACGAGCAAACATGGTTACACGCACTGTGAGATTGAATCAACTCAAGCACACAAATCTAAAAATTGGTTCGATTTTAGCCAGGATATGATCATCATGAATTGCTCTGCCTAGAGGTTCATGATACCATTGAAAAGTTTGGGGTTGGTAAGATTTTTTGAAAATGTTTTTGAATCTCTTAGGCTGTATTTATTTGATCAAAAATACAGTAAAAACAATAATACTATGAAGTATTATTAAATTTTAAATAACGTGCATGGTAATATATTTTAAAGTGTAATCTATTCCTGTGATGCAAAGCTGAATTTTCAGCAGTGCTTACTCTAGTCCAGGGGTGCCCAAGCCTGTTCCTGGAGATACACTTCCAGCAGAGTTCAGCTCCAACCCTGATCAAACACAACTGAACCAACTAATTAGGATCTGAAGGAGCACTTGATAATTACAGACAGGTGTGTTTGATCAGGGTTGGAACTGAACTCTGCAAGAAGGTAGATCTCCAGGAACAGGCTTGGGCACCCCTGGACTAGTCTTTAGTGTGACATGATCAACGAATATGAAATGTTTCTTTTTATATATAACTTGGAAGTTGATGTTATTTTATGTCATGTTAATATTAATAATATGTTCAGAAAACTAATTGTATAGCACCATAGCACAACCAGCAGTGCAATCTCTCAAGATGTAGTGGTAGCAAGACAAACATCATTTGTTGTACATGGAGGATTAATCGCCATTTTCTATAAGCATTCAAAATAATGAGCTTCATAAATGGAGCACCACTAAGGTGATCAATACAACACCTAGGGACATCGGTAGTCAACCTATAGCAAATCAAACATGCAAGCCCAATTAACGCAGACAGAAATCATCTTTCATCTTTCTCAGGCATAAAATTAATTAATTGCTCAGTGAGACATTTTTTTTCCTGAATGGACGAATAGAATACAAATTGAGCTAAGAGATCAATAATTCGTCAACAAATAAATATTGAGTCGATATCAGGCCTCAGTGTAGTAATAGAGCTATCAGACACAGCAGATGCTTCATGTCAATTGAATTGCCAATTGATTTTTAGGATCTAACAATTAAAAAGTCACACTAAAAAGACTGTTTTTGTGTGTGTTAAAACTTGCCTCAAATTACTTGTGACAAACAAAGGAATACAGCTGTCACAATGTTTTTGTAGTTCTACAGCTTGCTGCATGCTAGAGGTGTCAGAAAAAAAGTGCAAATGCTGTAAAGCGTTTAGACCACAGGATTCACAAACCACAAACAAGCTTGTATCAATATACTGGTGGTCCTCATTTCACTTAGAGCGCATTATGTAATGAATATATAACAGTAAATCATACAATTAAAGGACTATTAATGCTAAAAATTCAGCTTGGCCATCACAGAAATGAATTACATTTTAAAATATATTAAAACTTAAAAAAAATAATATTCCACATTATAATAGTATTTTTGATCAAATAAATGCAGCCTTGGTGAGCATAAGAAACTTCTTTCAAAAACATTAAAATCTTATTGATCCCAAACTTTTAAACAGTGGTATATATATATTACAATTTGTCTCGCGTTGCCAGACCTTCAGACTGACGGCAGAAGGTCTGGGAACCTTGGCTGCCATATGACTGACATTTAAAGCAACCAATCACGTTTCGGGCGCCACAGCATTTTTTTTTCCAGGCGGAAAGTTAAAGAACGCAACACAATCCTGTATAATCTAACCAATCTGATGACGACTTCGAAACTCCTGAAGTGTTTCGAGCTAAGTGTGCCATATTCATCAGACATTCAGCCATCGGTCTGTGGGCATGACATCTGAGGCTGAGACTATACTACAATATGCTATTAACAAATTACTTCCATATTTTTGTACTTTTAATATGCATATTGAGGGAAAATATTTCAGTAGATTCTGAAAAAGAAAAAAAATCACTTTTTGTCCAAACATCACTTTTGCTCAAAAATATTCTATAATTAAATAAGACTGAATCCATCCATTTATGAAAAAAGCCATGTATGCAACTTTATAGGGGAAAAAAACTGATAAATAATGTGAAAACCAACATCTCACCAGCACTACAGTCTAGTTCTTATTTACAACATGAAAATGAAAAATGAAGTAAACAATAACACATCATTCCTTCAGTTCTCATCTGTACCTGTAGGGGGCGCTCATCCCGTAGTCTTACCTGGCTTGTGGTACGTCGATGCTGGAAGAGACCACCTTGCGTTTTTGTTCCAGCAGAGAAACAGAGCGGGTGTGATCTTTCTCTGGCTCTAGCGCCCGGCCCGTTCGTTTGTGCTCCAACACCCTTGGCTCCTCTGTGCTCTCCGGGCTGAGGGAGGGCGCCTCTCCTCTCTGCACGCCCCCATTCTGGCCCTGCGTGGGCCCGTCCCGCTGGCCACCATTACAGGTGCTCTGCAGAGAAAAACACATTTGAGTTTCTTCAGTCTTAACTGTGTTAATAGTCTTTCCATTGGCTCCCGTCAATGAAACCCTATTTACACCTACGGGGGCCTTTAATGGTATATAGACCCCTGCCGCGAGGCTTGTTTGCTTGCAATCACGGAGCATTAGGCTGTAATTAAGCTGCTGGTAATTAATGCACCGGTCAATTCAAACACCTGAAAAATGCTTTGGATGGAGAAATCCTATTCGCTCATCTGCAGGCTCGTTTGTATATAAGATCTCTGCGCTGCTGACAAAAGAAAAATAAATCCCCCTCGCTCTGCCATTTCCCCCTTAGCACAATAAGCCACCATCCGTGACCACACTAATGCAGAGACGAGCAGCTTTTCCTCTTGCACGTCTCATCTGCACAGCAGCCGTAGACTTTTCTATTGCACTGTGACTAAAGCTGCGGTACACTAAACCGCATGCTACAGAGAGGGCAAACAGGGGCCAAGACGACGTACATCACTGTATGCACCAACGGAGAGCGTGATCTCCGCAACAGTGAGCGGCGTGCAATCCAGATCATTATCTTACCGTAACGCGATTAGTTTGACTGAGGAGTCAAAGTTAACTGAAGTAAAAAATGAAATGGATGGCTACCTGGATACCTGCCTCAATACCGGTCCAAGAAACTCTGCTAATAAGGGCTAAAAAAGGTAAATAAAACAACATACAAAACGGAATTTTACCTTACTAGTAGTGAAGTGTGGTATTTTAATAGAGTATCTTTTTATTTATGTGCCAACTGTCATTATTTACTCACGCTCATGTTGTTCCAAACCTGTATGACTTTCTTTCTTCTGTGGACGCAAAAGGAGAAATTTTGGAGAATGTACTAGCTGCTCTTTTCCATACAATAACAATAAATTAGGATTAAGCTTTTAAGCTTTAAAAAGAAGGATATGAAAGCCCCATAAAATGTATCACAAACATGGTCTATATAACTTATGCATGATATTCCAAAACCTCTGCAGCCAAACAATAAGCTCTGGATGAAAAACTAGGGACGCACAATAGGTTATCATCAGCCAATATTAGAGATTTTATAATATATATTTACTAGATATTCATATTATTGATTATAAAATTGGATATGTAATTATGAATATAATTTTCCTTAGTTTTCATGTTGGTGTTATCTAACACTCACTTAAAAGTTTACATTTAAAAATGCTAAACATTTAATAACACTGTAAAATGTCTAGCAAATCTCAAAATAAATATCCATTATAATGTTGTGATGTCTAAATTCACTTCAAGCGTTTAAAATTTATGATTTTAGTCGGTGTTCCTTTTTTTAATTTTAGACAATACTGTAGAAATGTAATATCTGCCATTCATCAGCTTAGTATCTGTATCAGGCAGAATTTTACTAATGGTGCTTCATTGAAAAACAGACTAAAAGAGTGAATGCTGACAGAATTTTCTTTTTTTGGGGTTAACTCTTTCTTTAAACCTCCCATAGGGCAGGAATAATGCTATTTCATGAACAAGATGAATGCCAGGCTTTGGCGTATTTTCATGAGATGAACAGATTTGTTAAAGTGGTATCATGTTGTGCAAGACTTTCAAGCGTCAAATCAAAACTGCACAGTTGACAAGTTCAAATTTAAATTTCACACACTATTAAGTCTTTCTCTCTGAAGATAAAAAAAACACACACCCTTGCTTTGTGTGCTTGTTTTTTTAACGACCACAGCTTTCTCACCTCATCTAGAGCTCCAAACTGATCAAATATGGGTTACAATTCATGTGCCAGTCAAACTATTCAAATGAGATCTTATTTTTGCTAAAGAGTTAGAGGATTTTAATCAATTTAACCCTGTAAGGCCCACTGTTGTAATATTTCAACATCAGTTTTAGCTTGACTAAAATAAAGCAGCTCATGTTTTTTTTCTTTTCTCTAAGACCACATTTACACAACTAATGGGTCCTATTCTTCAGCCTTGCAATGCTATTGGATGCTATATTTTAAAAATAGGCCTATTTACCTGGCCATAAACTCACACAACCTGCGAACCAACCTGGATAAATCTACATTCAAGTAAGTAAAATGCCTAAAATATTTTTTTCTGTGATTATTAATATGTGTAGATCATGTAGATATTAAGGTATTGTTGAATGCATTGATCATTTTAGATTTTGAGCTTGTTATGTCAGTGTTGTAATTTTGCAACGTTGGGTTAAAGGGGTAAAAATTTGCCTGTGCACCTTGCACATTACATGGATGAATTGTACTTCTCATCTGTTCCATGTAAAAAAAAATACTAATAGAAACATACTGTTTTTGATCATTCACAAGTTTTAAATGTCTTTTTTTTGTTACCATTTTGAGATTCAATCAAGATTTTATGATTATTAAGTGATAAGTTCAAGTTAAAGAATAAATTATTTCTTCAATAATTTGAAAGTATTTGTGTAACAATATTTTAAACTATCTGTATCTTAAAATGTACTTAACTGGCCCTTTGCTTGTTTGCCCAAATATCTGCTTGCTACATGAAGGACAGGTGATAATATTCTGGAATGTGGGGAGTATACTATTAGCATGATAAGCTATCAGACAGTATTGTCAATTCTGTGGAATGTGTGAATTCTTTAAAAGTATGTTTGGGATAAATTTGCACTGATAATTTTAGCCTGGAAAATAATCATTGTTTTTTTCCATTTCAGAATGCCACCAGCCAAGAAAGACCGTCTCATCATATGTGTATGATATATCACTGATGCTGTCCAAAATGAGAACAGTGACTTTGAGATGGACTGTGATACAAGAGAAGAAAGTTTTAAAGTCAAGTCATTTAGAATAGTTTAAAGCTTTCATTCAATTCATCAGGTTTTGATGAACATCAAAAAACATATTTTTTATAATAAATGTTTTTTTTTCATAAAAATTAGACTTATTTTATCATTATTGTGTGATTATTAGTGTGTATACATATTAGGGTTGGGAGATGTCTACCAAATTGGCATGGGACGATGTCTACAGTGAAACATCGCAATGAATGATGACATCGGGGGGCGGGGTTAGGGGGTGTGCCCGAAGCGTGAATCTGTTTGCAGAAAGGCACAGGAAACAAATAACGCGTTCTAAGGAGCCACTAAAGGTACATGGTTAGCCGCTTGCTAGCGGTAGACTGTTACATTACAGTACATGAAAGTTCACTTACCACATACACAGAGTAAGGAGAGATGACTGATAGGACAATGGCGAATGATTTGCAGATACTGAGCACCACTGACAAATATCGAATCTTGTCAAATGTGTGGTAGGTACTGCCGCTCCGTAGTATAGAGTCCGTTAGTGCTGGGAATCGATTCAGATGTCCCGATTCGATTCGATTTCGATTTCGATACGCAAGCTCTCGATTCGATTCGATTCTCGATTTTTTTTTTATTACATTCAGTGAATATAGTTTTAATACAAATGCTATTGATATTTCTAAAAAAAATATGGACATCGTGATGTCTGTCAGAACCTTTAGATGTTCTCTACATTTGTTCAGACAGTGAGTAAAATCACTGAAATTCTGCTACCCAGAGAGCCCAACGTTGCAATATTACAACATTTCACTAAAAACTGACTAAAATGTAAAAACACATATTACTGTATTGGAGGCCTCCTACAACAACAACATTTAAAAGGTGAAATTATTTTTTCACAGGTTTTTTTCTGTTTGGGTCTTCTAGGGTTAAACAGATCTCGACTAATCTAATGACAGCATTAATTAGATTTGAGAGCAGGATGCACACAGATGAGCACTCAAAATTTATTATCTACAAATTATTTATTTATATTTGAATATTCACAAAAAACAAACAATCACACAATGCACGTTCACACTTGAGATGCTGCACTTTAAGGTTTGAGATATCCACTGTAAAAGGAATTATGACGCTCTTCGTAAAACCATAACAAAAATGTTTAAAGCTTGCATCTATTATGACCAAATAATCAACCATTTCATGTGAATAAAATGTAAACCAGCAACAAAGCCTTGGTGCATAAAGAGTTAAACTGTTAGACAGCCCGTGTGTGTTAATCAAATTTTGATATTAAGCAGTGGAAACAACAGGGGAACGAAAACAATCCAGTCCGCCTTTGTCTGGAAATGCCACACTGTAACACACTGTAACGCACTTAACGCGAAGCCCCTCCTTACTATGCAAGTCAACAAGTGGCATTCCCTCAAGCCGAATGGCACTCGTTTGGGAATCCAGGCGCCTTGCCAAAACCCCATATTCTATGAGCATGACCCTCTGTAGAGCTCCGTTTTGCTGCCGTTATGGAGCAGCTGCTCCGGGACCATTAGCCCCCACTTTAGTTTCACATCCCTTATAGCAATGAAATGCGCAAATAAAAATTACTTCTTTGCACGGCAATGTCGCTTTAAAAACAAGAAACGTCACGCTGACAAAACCCGAACGGACTGACCGTCATAACGGGCCGAACATGCGAATAATGCGACAACATTACCACAGATCTGGACCGCATCCACATGTATCAGCGGCGCGAGCAGTGAACCGTTACAACATGCAAATGAGCTACGCTTGATAACTTCTCTGTCCGTCTGACCGAAGCACCGACCGGCAAACCGATATATTTCTTCTGTCGACCTGTTTGTTTTGCTTGCCGTTCCCTTATAGCTGACGGGTTGTGGTAAGACACGGCGCGGAGCGGCAGTTTTGGCTCGATAAACACGATGTATTTTTCACAATACACACAGCGGGCATTTATGTGATAAATCACCGAGGAGCGGACCACAAGAAATTTGATTCATATTATAATATAAATGAGCGTCTCCAGTGTCGAGGGTGCTGTTCTAATAGCTAGTTTTCACCCCATATCGCCGTAAATCCGGTTTCGTGTGACAAAGACTCCATTCCGGAAAGTCCATCCGGGTTTTCTAGAGCCACTGGCTCTACCGGCGGAATGTCGCCTGTAAACATGTGCGCTCGCGCAGCCAGTGTGCGTTCCGATTGGCTGGCGGCACACA